TGAGGGAGGAGCTAATGAGGGAGGAGCTAGCGAGGGAGGAGCTAATGAGGGAGGAGCTAATGAGGGAGGAGCTAATGAGGGAGGAGCTAGCGAGGGAGGAGCTAATGAGGGAGGAGCTAACGAGGGAGGAGCTAATGAGGGAGGAGCTAACGAGGGCGGAGCTAATGAGGGCGGAGCTAATGAGGGCCTCACCTGCAGGTTCTCCCAGTGTTTCTCCTGCGTCGTGCGCGCGCGTGGGGAGAAGCTATAGAGGGAGGAGCTAACGAGGAAGGAGCTAATGAGGGAGGAGCTAACGAGGGAGGAGCTAGCAAAGGAGGAGCTAATGAGGGCCTCACCTGCAGGTTCTCCCAGTGTTTCTCCTGCGTCGTGCGCGCGCGTGGGGAGCTAGCGAGGGAGGAGCTAATGAGGGAGGAGCTAATGAGGGAGGAGCTAACGAGGGCGGAGCTAATGAGGGAGGAGCTAGCGAGGGAGGAGCTAATGAGGGCCTCACCTGCAGGTTCTCCCAGTGTTTCTCCTGCGTCGTGCGCGCGCGTGGGGAGGAGCTAACGAGGGAGGAGCTAACGAGGGAGGAGCTAATGAGGGCCTCACCTGCAGGTTCTCCCAGTGTTTCTCCTGCGTCGTGCGGGGCGTCTCCGGCAGCAGCAGCCACGCGACAGCGTAGATGGCGTTGCCGTGGTCGACGATGCTCTGGCTGTTTCCGTCGTCAAGCATCAGTTCGGTGAGGACCGCGCAGCATCCGGCACGCAGCGACAGCACGTACGCTCGCTTTCTCTCCTCCTGCACGCACACACACACACGCACACAGTGTCATAACGACGTAGGTTATCCACGTTAGCCGACGTAGGTGGAATTTCTCATGCAGTCATATCTATGTTGAATTGAATACTATAAGTGATGTATTACTACAATATGATAGTGTTATAACATTATATAATACAACCTTCTTCAGTTACAGCTCTATAATATGGAACGAATTTATTCCCTTAAAATGAACAACTCGTTATATTAAATAGCCAGTTTAGCGTACTAAAACTATAATTCCGCACTTTGGTATTCAGCTCGCGTAGTAACAAGGAAAAAACTTGGGGGGGCGGACGCAACTTATCACGATCTATTTATGCACTTACATATAGATAAATCAATCAAATATCCATAAACAACTTCATAAGGGTGTCGCTGTTAGATCATGCCAATTTTAATGCATAGCACGCACGACTACCATTCTCGTCGTGATTGACCCCACTGACTATGTTACATGCATTGCTTTCCTCCCCTAAAAACGTGCCTGCGAGAACGGCCTTACGCGATGGA